AAGCGCAGCTGGCAGGAGGAAACAGGGTAGACAGCTGATGCTGGGGGTGTGCTGTGCGTGCCCTGGGGCTGCTGTCCCTTGGGGCTGCCTGGAGTCAGGTGTGGGGGACCCCATAGGAGAGGCCCCCACAGAGAAGGGACCAGGAGCAGAATCCAGGACCTGAGAATGGAACGGAAGGGGGAAGGGTGCATTGGACGCCAGTCCTTGTCCCCAGCTGCCCTGCCCTGGCTCTGCTTGTTTTGTGGGGTCCTTCTCAGGGTCCGCTCCAGCCAAAACTAAGGCCAGTTTCTAGAACCCTGGGTCTTGCTCTCATAGCTACACATTAAGGGGTTGGTGGGGGGTAGATGTCTTGATGCTGGAAACCTAAGAGCCACGACCACCCCAAACCCCACCGAGATCCACCCATCTCTCACCAGAACCAACTTCAGTCTCTTCACACGCAGAAAGGGCCCAAGTGTTTCCAAGCACACCCCAGGTGCCAGCTCTGACCACCAGCCCCAGAAACCTGCAGGGCCCGGCCCAGCCAACGTCTGGCCGGCACCTGCCTGCAGCTCCACCAGGGCTGGCAGCCTTCGCAGATGAGGTCCTTTCCCTTCTCTGGGCCCCAGGGCAGAGGGCGGCTGGTAACCAGATGTCCCCACTTGGTGGGGGGTGCAACAGTGGCGAAGGGTTTGGGGCCTTCTCTCAAGTGTGGAATCACCAGCAGCCAGCACAAGGCTCCAAGAACCTGGGATCCCCGCACCCGCTGCGTCCCCCACTGCCCGCCCCATCTGCCTCTTTTCCCGTGCTCCCTGCCCTTCCTGCCTCCCTGCCCACAGTCTCCTGCTCTGCTCCATCTCATTTCAAGGAAGATTCCTACCCGAGCCAGGGAGGTGGTCAGACATGAGGCGCAGCCTGGCCCACATCCTGACGGTCGTCCTGTGTGGGGCGGATGCCCAGGCAGGACTGTGCCAGTCCCGTCCACAGCTGGAGAAGGGGTTGACTCCAAAGGCCCCTGGGCAAGCCAAGGACACCCTGGTGGGCAGTGGGGGGCCTCTAGTGCCTCGACCCACAGCCATCCCGCTTTGAGCCCAGTTCTGGGAAGAAACACAGGCAGGGAGGAAGGGCCTCCTGGGTCCAGGAGCCGCTTCCGTCTCCAGCTTCACAGGCACTGCTCAGCTGCCTCCCTGATGAGGACCCAGAGATAAAGATGCCCTCAGAGAGCTCAAGAGGACCTCTTCACAGGTCCGAGCCCCTCTCCGAGACGCAGGGAGGCCAGGGTCAGAGGTCCCAGACTGCAGTGGCAGAGGTTTCACCGCGGGGCTTGGGAGGAGGAAAGGAGCTCGCACGGCTGCTTCTGCACACCCGTGGTTAAGTGCAGAACTGGCCCCGCCAGGCTGAGGACGCCCGGACAAGCCCTCCAGAATCCCAAATCCCGTGCCCTGCGGTCCCAGCTCATGGGGCTGCCCCAGGAACCCAGAAGGAGGCACCTGTCCAGGCTTTGACAATCCTTTTCCAAATTCTTCTCTGAGTGAGCAGCTGATCCCTCACTGTGGGAGGGGTCAAGGAGGGGTCCAGGGTCCTGTCCAGGGAGCTGCTTTGTCTCATTTGACTTTAAGAGAAGACAGATTTCAGCAGGTAAAAACGGGAAGAAAATAATAACCCTCGGCCCACGCGGTAGTTGCGCTACGAGGATGAAGCGCCCCAGGAGGTCATCGCCCCCACTTAAGTACCTCTGGGCTCTCAGGGCAGGGGGACGAGGCCGCTCCCGAAATGCCCATTTCTCTCCCCAGCGGACGGGCAGAATCAGCCCAGTGTGGGGACCACAACAGAATGGAAACTTCCTATTCTTCCTTTCCTTGGCAAGCTGTCACCCCCACCTCTCTCCTAGGGCCCTGGAGCCTCCGTGACCCCCAGCTCCAGAAACAGGGACCCACATGAGGGCCGGCCCTTGGAGACAAAAACGCAGCAGCAACCTCGTGGCCAGCGAGGACGCCCAGCGGCACAATTGTATCTACGAAATTCTTTTCATCTTTGTTTTGATGGGTGAAGCTCGATGCCAGAATATTTGGTTTGTGAGTCATGCTAATTATAGCTGGGGGGTTGGGGGAGGGCGCGGGAGGCACCAGGAAGAACAACAGAAAGAAGCAAGTTCCAAAAAATTATGCTGTGCTGGTTGCCCTGAATAGGGAGGTTCCGTCCCAGGAATGAGGAGGGAGCTGCCTGCACCCTTCCGGGGACCATGATGTTGGCTTTCTTGGCTCCCACCTGCCCGCTGGCTGGCTGCACCTGCCCCAGACAGGCAGCAGTGTCCTCTGGCTGCACGAGGCCCACCCATGTCCTCTGGCACTTGCATTTCTCTGTCTCCCTGCCCTGCTGCTCGCCCATAGCATGTTCCTTGGCATCACAAGAGACTCAAGGTGGGAGGAGAAGGAGGAGAGAGAGCCAGAGGAGAGGACCAGAGTCCCTGAGAAGCAGAACCTGGCTGTCCTTTCGGCCCCAGGGCACTTTCTCTGCAGGCAGCTGGGAAGTGGGAATTTGGGTACTTGAGAAGCTGGGATTCCAGCCTCTGCTTGGAAAGCTGTGCCTCCTTGAGCAAGTCACATCCCTTCTCTGGGCACAGAGATGCAACCTGGGGAGTCGCGGGCCCTCCATCTACAGCTTTGGGACAAATCATGAGCCTCTCTGAGCTCTTCAGGGGTAAGAGGACCATTGATAGAATTATTGAGAGTCAATATTGCTCATTGCTTGCTGTGCAGAAAACACACACACACACACACACACCATGACTGCCGTTATTTCTATTTTCACTGCTGCTGGGACACCCCTAAGCTCTGCTCAGCTCTCAGGTCAAGAGGGAGGGTGGAGAAGTGGGGCAGGGAAGAGGACAGCTCAACCTTCTGCCCCCCGTCTCCCCACCACTAGTGTTTCTCTGCCCCTCTGGCCGGCAGAGGTGGTGAGGGGCCTCGTGGAGAACAGACGCCTCCCCCAGGCAGGCCTCTCCCAGCAGCCCACTCAGCCAAGTGCCTCTAGCTGTAACCTTGCACGTGGGGCTGGCCACGTGCTTCCCCGAACTATAAAAAGCAAAGGCCTGGCTGCCTCTGAGGACCTCACACCCTCCCCCAGGGACCCAGGATGTAGCTAGCTGTTGAGAAAACTCAGTTTCTCAGGACACGCCCCATTTTCAAAGTTTGGAAGGAGGAAGTTCCAAGGGTGCCAAACTGCTTGCATTCTTAGAAACCGAGGGAGACAGAAGAGACGGCAGCAAGTCACAGGGAGAACCGGCTCCCTCCTTCTCCCTCAAGTGGATCAGGAGGGCCCAGGAGTGTCTGAAGCACATTGGGGTCCCACGGGGGCTGTCCAGGAACCGGCACAGTGGGGCTCACACGGTGTGGGTGCCTGGGACAGGTGGGGATCACACCTGTGCTGTGGAGATGCCTGCAAGAGCTAGGTGGCCCTCAGTGCACAGAGAGGCATGCGCAGTCCAGAGTCTCCAGTGCAGCTCAGCACCTCGGGCCCAGACCTGGGCCATGTTCAGCGGTGCAGGCAGCCCAGAGGGTCCCCGGGAAAGGGACATTATTTTTTCCTGTCCAGTCTGGATCCCCTCCAGGGACACCAGGCCATTAGATGCAAGGGCCAAAGTCAGCCTTCCCCTGTTCTGTGTGGGCTCCAAGTTGCCCCCAGGCAGGGCTGGCTCTCAGGTGGTCTGGGCGATGTTGAGGTGAGGGCTCCCCCACCAGGTGCAGAGGGGACTTGGGCATCATTCCTTTTCCTTCCACGCCCAGAGAAGAGTGAAGCAAGATGAAACCCCACAAAAATCGGGGGAGGTGCAATCATTCCTGACAGCTTCTGTCTGCCGCTGAGCCCGCGCTGCTCCCTGGTCCCAGAGGGAGACCATGGCCACGGCACCTCTGCTACAGAAGGGAGTAGCAGGAGCCAGTACCGGGCCCTTCCCCCAAACTCCTGATCTTTCTGCCTCTTTGCCACGAATGCCACCCTGGCCCCTCCCACCCCTCTCGTCGCCCGCCCCGGTGGAGGTGTCTGCTGGGCGACCAGGCTGAAGCCACGAAAAGGACCCGCAGCAGCGCAGAGTCCCACCAGCCACGTCCCCACCCGCCAGGCACCTACCTCCAGCCGCCAGCGTCTGGGAGCGAGCGGGGCGCCCGCGTCCTCCCCAAGGCCTCTCTTAGAGCATCTCTCAGCGACGGAACCTCCTCCCGGCCAGGTCCGGGGAAGACCAGACTTGTCGAAGGAGAGAGCGGGCAGGAAGGGAAAAGTCCTCTGGGAAGAGGGTGCAGAAAGTTGTGGGAGTGCAGACAGAGCCGGCCCCTTCCCGGCACCTGGATCTCCTCTGCTCCGAGGTCTCTTTGGCCAGAAGCGGAAACGCGGTTTCTCGAAAGTAGAGGAAGAGCTGAAGAAAGCGGGACAGACGCGTAAAGAGCAAACCCCAGCCAGATGTGAGCGGCCGCGGAGCCTCGAACGCTCCCAGTGCATTTTATCCAAACAGCAGCCGCCAAGGATTAACTGTGTGTGTGCCCGGCTGGCAGGGGAGCGCCGAGCGCCGGTGCTGCCCTGCTCCTGGCCTCCCTGTGAGCGGCCCGGGCTGGGGGCTGGGGGTGGGGTGGGGGCTCCAAGTGTCTGGAAGTCCCTCCAGGTGTGGGGGTGATGGGGGGGCCCGGGACCGGGAGGGCTGGGAAACCTGTGTTGCTGGGTGGCAGAGGGATGGGCTCCAAGGAGCTCAGGGGGCACCTGCAGCCAAGCTAGAACCTGTCCCCAGATGGTGGCAGACCTGAGACATCCACCTGGGTCCAGGGGAATCTGAACCCCCAAAGCAGAACGCAGAATTACACGTGTGTGTACACATGTGCATTGTGGGACGGTGATGGCCCAGTGCTTTGTTCAGAGTCTTAGAGGGCTCTGTGATCCAAAGGTTAGGAACCCCAGCTCGGGGTGCAGACTTTCCAGAGGACACGTGAGCCAGAGTGGGGCCAGCAGGGACGTCAGCATTTCTCAGTCTCTATCGGGCCTTTCACTCCTTGATATGAAAACCAGACACGTTCGCTGTCTCATACATGAGTTCTTTCGCAACAGCTCCCCTGGCCCCACCCTGCGTCCCGATAGCTGCCCTGGGCTTCCCCGGGGCTGCCCCAGGTCAGGCAGGTCTCCATCCACAAACACTGTGTCAGACTGATCGTTCTAGCATCTTATCCTATGAAGGCAAGAGGAAGGATCTGGCCTGAGAAACACAACTCTGCTGTGATGATAACGGTTTTCTGTCTGTTTTTTTTCTCCCCAGCTCCCCTGGTCTCGCCAATCCACCTGGATGTCCTGCCTGCACTTTTTGTTTGGTCTGCACTCCTCCAGGCCTCTCCCTCAGGCTCCACCCAGACAGGAGATGCTGGAAACAGGGACGCTGAGCCTCCTCCTTGCCTTGGAATTCCTTCTCCACCTCTGCTCCGCACCTGTCTGCCTCGAAGGCTAAGAAATTGAAACAGAAGGAGGAGGGTGTGCATTTCGGACATCCACCCAGCATACCTTCGCACCAGGGTGAGTTGAGGACGGTGGAGATGGAAGAAGAGCAAGGGTTCAGGGCTGTGGAGAGACCCTGGCAGCCAACCTGCCCCTGCGGGAGCAAAAGGACACATGGTCCTGGTCCTCCGTGGCCCATGGCAAGATTAAGTAACTGTGTCGCCCCTGGGGATGTGGCTTCAGCCACGTGAGGAGACTCGGAACCGCTCGCGATCTTCAGCGTGTGTCTGAGGCTTGGCACACGCTCCATCCCTGACGGGAAAACACAAAGATAAGCGCGTCTCCTTTCCCGTGCGTAACTCGAGGGGCATTTCCTGGTCAGCAAGACCCTGGCCCAGCACGCTGGCTGACCTCCGACCTTCCCTAATTGCTCTGTCCCCAAACTACCTTCTCAGCAGGGAGAGGGCAAGAAGAAAACGGAAGGAGGCTGTGTCTTCACGCACCCCCTGCGGGACCTTTGTCCTCTTCGAGGCTGAAGGATTCAGGTCTTTCTCAGAACTCCTGTGAACGGGGAAGTCCCTGAGGGCAGTGGGAAAGCTCGCTGTGGCCCTACCCAGGAGACTCAGGCCTGGGGAGGTCCTGGACCGATACCAGAACTCAGCGCAGGGACACGCAGCTGGAAAGAAAAACCCTGGAGATGGAAGATGTGTTCTGCTCTCTTGCCCCAGGCTGCGCGAGACAGCTTTAGCGTCTAAGAACTGAAAGACAGCGACCTTTAACATAATTCCAAGACGTGCACTTGGAGGCCCCGTACACAGCAGAGCTCTAGAAACATAGCCAAACAGCGAGCACCCCTTCTGGCGGCAGCTGGCTCGTCCTGACGGGAGGCTTTGCGTCCTCGGCCTGGGGTTGCTGCCCTCCCTTGGGGGCACCTCAGTCTCCTTGTCTCTGAAGCAGAGCTAGGTCCAGGATCCCTCACCTGGAGCCTCTGAGGTCAGATGTGTTCAGAGTGGGGTGCGAGTGTCACTAGAGCGTCTTCCCGGCCGGCTTTGGGCGGGGCCCCTTCATCCGACGCTTGCGTTGTCTATAGTGGGTTAAATCAAGGCCATTCCTAGTCTCACAGCCATTCCAGTCACGTTGTTCTGTCAGACTCGTTCGTGCCAAATTCAGGGGAACACGAAGTTTTCAGAGCCTTTTGCATTTAGAGGATTCGGGGTAAAGCGAGGGAGGACGTTCGTTTTAACTGTCAGTGTTGTAAGTGCCATCTTCTCCCCTCTCTCCTCTTGGTTAGAGCCCCCATGTCTCCCAAGAGTCAGAAAGAGGTTACTCATTTTTCTTGAGGCAGAAACTTGGGGGTGGCCGTGATACTCACCATGGCGACAGAAGCCTGGGGTTTCCCAGGATTTTTGTGAGAAGCAGAAGGCCCAGAGGCGTGGGAAGTCAGAGAATGGGAAGGGAATCTGAGTATATCTCGGGTGGTGCCACCAGGCCCACAACTCAAGCCAACAGGCAACCGGGCAAAGAGTCACGAGGCTAAGCTCCCGAAGAAAGCAAAGGCAGCCCTCAAGAAAAGAAATATTACGTCCTGCAAGCACGGAGCTAGCCGGGGCCCTGGTGGCCCTTGGTCGGGTACCTCCTCACTGCTTTAAAGTTGTAAGTAGGAAAGACGGCGGATTTGGCAATGCTTGGTTCTCTCCACTGTGGTCATAGCCACCCCCACCAGCAACTGGGGAGGAATGTTCTCAGCAAAGATCTTGTTGGACAGCCCCAGCCAGTGCTAGGGACGAGAGTCGTGGCAAAAAAACACAATGTTAACAAATCAGAGCCCAAAGCCAGCAGTGGTGTCTGGGGAAGATTTCATCAGCCCTGCGATGGGTCAGAGGCCAAGGCCAGTCAGAACCATGAACCCCACCCCCCGAAGAGGTCTGTCTCTCAGGCTCCCAGGACAGCCTGTTGCATGGTTGCATGCCTATTCTGGAATTCCCTGGGAGCCCACACCTCCTACACAAGGATGTCTGAGCCAGACTCCTTAAGTTCCCCTGGATGTCCCCGAGTGGCTCCACGTTCTCAGATAAGGGCAGCTCATGGATGTAAAACCCAGCAGCTCACCACGGGGGGAGGGGGGTCCATTCCTGGAATATCCGCCTAGAGGCAGCACACTCCATGCCCTCTGTGGTTTGGCAGTTCCGTCTCTCCTGGGCACGTCACGAAGCTCACTCTGTCTGTTTCCTCATCATTGGAAAAAACGACGTGACCTCGGTTAACGTCTCCAAGACGCTCAGTTCCAGATAAGCCCAGCCCGTCATTAGCGGCGCTGTGATTTTTTTCCCACTTCGGCCCTAACGGTCTGCCTCTCCCGGCTATTTTGGGCCGGGCTGCCCGACCATCCCACTGTCAAGGGCAGAGACTGGTATTGCAAACTTTTGAATTCCATTCCAAAGGGTAGCGACAGGCAGGCTCAGATGGTGGCGTCCCACTGCCAAGGGATGGGGGTGGGAGAGTCTCCGTGGAGATTTGGAGAAGGAGCCGAGATGGAAACTTGGCCGCCAGACCCAGCCTCCCTGGCCACCGGCCCACCCTCATTGCTCCCCGAGGGCACTGCCGGTGTTCTGGAAGGCTCGGGGGCAGGTGGGACTCGGGCTGGCAGCTGCGAGGACAGAACAGGCTAATCTGCTTTAGGGTCGTCATCCTCGCACCCAGAGAGGACACTCCCGCTCCAAGGAGGAGTCAGCTCTGGACTCCATGCAAAGACAGGTGGGCAGGGATAAGATTCTACACTTGCTATTTTGTCTTTTTTTTTAACCCTTCCTGTGCTTTCAGACTCTAATCAAGCCATTTCATGCCCCATGCCTCAGCTTCTCCGTCTCTCAACGTCTACTGCCCTGTTTTGGGAATTCCTTTTCAGCACTTGCAGTTACACGAAGACAGAGGACTAATTAGGTAACACCACTTTACTGGATGCACAAAATGGGAGGGCCCCCTGGTGGACTGCACAGTTCTAAGCACCTAACTCTGAAATGAATGAGTCAATCAGTAGGCACACGTATGAATGCTTAAAATGAAGACTTTTTAGTCTTTTATGCAGAAATACAGGAGATAATTTCCAGGAGAAGGCCACGGTGATGTCTCTGATGATGCAGAGAAGATGAGGACAAGGAAAATCAAAGGAAAACCTGGTTGGACATGACTGTGGAGTCATTGTTGACTGGCAAGAGAGCAACATCATGGCACAGCCTCCCGGGAAGGCAGCGTCTATTCTCTAGAGGATGCAAATCCCCTTTGATCTAGTCACCTTTCTTCTAAAAGTGTATCCTATGATACACTTACACTTGTGCTCAAATAACCAAGATATGCCCCAAAGCATTGCTGTAATGTAGAGAAATCACAGACACCCTAAAAGGACATCACAAGAATCCTGGTAAAATAAATGACAGGACATCACATGGTGGAATAGCACACACACAGCTCTTCAGAGAGTGAAGCAGCGTCCTATATAATGATATGGAACAAGCATTAATGGGAAGTGAAAAAGTACAAACCCTATTGAAAAACATTAAAGAAGACCTAAGTCAATCAGAAAAGCATACCATAAAAAAAAATCTCAGTTCTCTCCCAATTAATCTACAGGCTCAAAGTAATCCCATTCCAAATCTCAAGAAGTTGGGGTGGGTGGGATGAAGGGGCTGGGGGATTGCAACATTTGAAGGCTTATTATAAAGAGGTGGTAATGAGGACAGTTGTATTGGAGCCACTGTGAAAAATTATACCAACACCACGTAATAGAAAGTCCCCAAGCAGACTCATGTGAACATGGAAACTTGATCTATGACAAAACTTTGTATCAGATCAACTGAAAAGGACGGATTTTTCCCTGAAAACAGCACTGAAGTTCTGTGGCATCTGCGGAAGAGCAATCTAACCAGAAAACATAAGAAGTCACTCAGTAATCAGGCAATGAGAAATCACTTCATGCCATCAGTTGGTGATGTTAATACACCTGATAATATCTGTGACGTGACCCAATCTCTCAGCCACTGCAGACAGTTTTATTTCATTTTTGTAAGTTATAATAGGCATATATTTTATTTAGGGATACACACTTACTTGCTAAAATTATAAAATAAAGCACGAGAATGATTAATACAACATTCAGGAGTGTGATTACCTCTTGGGGTGGAAGGGAGCTGGGAACGGGGAGGAGTAGCAAGAAAGCTTTCAAGATAACAGGGCTAATGTTTTGTTTCCTAAGCTGGGAAGCATATATAGATATAGGTACCTTAATAAATGAAAGATTTGAATAATTTAAAATAATAATAGTATATATGGTGTGTCGTTGGGACTCAGCTTAGCATGATGGGAAACAGATGAATTCAGGAAGGGTCTCCCCCCCTAGAAAAATGCAGAACCATGTTTAGCATATTTCCATTTGGCTTTATTTTTAAAGGTAATTTAATATATGTGTTTATGATTGGTTTGTGTGTCATAAAATATGTCTAGGAATAACCACAGGAAACTAGTAACAGTGATTGCCTCTGGGCAAGGAATGCGAAAAAGGGTAGAGGAGAGGGTTGTTTTTCACAGGGCACCTTTTATATAATTTGAATTTTCCCCTTGTGCATCTGTTATTTAATGAGAGACCCGAGGTGTCTGCAGGCAAGCAAAGGCTGAATCAGGTGCAGACCGGAAGAGCACTGAGGCGCCCTCCTCCTCAAGCTCTTGGGTTGACGCACCACTGCTACTGGGCTTTTTTCAGGACTTCTAAAATAGGTACACTGCAGGACTTGGGGGTGAGGGGCAGGGATGCCTTTTAACACTTCCATTAAAACAACTTGGGGGCTAGTGGGGGAGACTGGCAAAACCGATGAATCAGAGACCCTGGTTAGTTGATTGTAAATCAGAGGCAGGAAAACCTCCACCCCATTCCCCAGCACCTTCCTCCTAGACACCACAGCCTGTAGACCTGTGCCCTGATCTTGGGAAATTGATCACCATTCCGATGTGGCCAACTGGAAGAGCCAAAGAGAGGGGCTCTCTGAGAATGAGGGTGGCAGGAATCCACGCTTCTCTGCCTCCAGGCGAGGGGCTCCTGTAATTTCAGCTAGAGGAATGATAATCCCTTCCCCATAGCCTTCATCCCATGCCCCTCCTATTTTCGCCTGGCCGAAGATCTTGAATAACGCGGTGGAGAAGACCTGCGGGTGGGCAGTGCAGACTTCGCGCCCTTCCCTCTGGTCCATCGCCTGGCCCGCAGCTCCTCCTCCCAGACCCTCTCGCCGAGCAGCAAAACTACAACTCCCAGCAGCCCCTACACGCGCCCGGCGCGCCGCCGCAGAGCAGAGGCTGCCGGGAGCGTGTTGCCCGGAGGCG